GCAAAGGCAGGGTGGGAACGGAGAGGAGAGACTCGAGCTGCGGCAGCGAACCTGAGCGCTGGGCTGGGGCTGAAAACGCGAGTTCTCACCTGCACACACACAGAGATAACACATCTTACACACACATAACACATCTCACATCTCACACCGCCCTGCGCCTCCCCGGGCACCGCTCCAGAGCCACCGTCCCACCCTGGGAATGTCACTGCTCCCCTGGCATGGCTGGGGGGACGGGCTGGGGTACAGGAGGGCAAGGACAGCCCGTCCTTGGCTCCCTTGTGCAACACCTCCAGGCTGGCTGACAAGGCAATTGATTTCTTTTCCTCCTTTCCCCGGGAAACGCCTCTGCCTGGCTGTCAATCATTCCCCGGAACACCTCGGGATGCCAGCAGAGGATTTCAATCAAATTTGTCAGAGCCATCGTGTTTCTGCAGGCTGGAATGTGTGTCCGGGCTCGGGGATCCGCCCAGGCGAGGGAGAACAAACCAGCAGCACCTTCCAGCCCGGCCACGTGTGGCTCATTCTGCAAGGACCAGCAGCGGGGAAGAGCCGGCATCCGGCACCTTGGGGCTTTGGGGGAAGCTGGAATGCGGCGGAGCCGGCAGGAGGCTCTGCCCGAGCTGATCTCCTGTGGGATGGCTCAGGAGGGACCGGAATGCCTGAGCTGCTCCTTCCAGGCTGGATCCGAGAAGTCAGAGGTGAGAGAAGGTGGTTGTCAGGGAAATCACGGAGCTGTCAGCCAAGAAGTCTGTGGCAACCTGTATTTGGAGATGAACAGAGCAAATACTCCATGTACAGAGGGAATAAAAAGGGTTTTAAAGGTTCCTCGGCCTGTGCACACAAAAGTTTCTACACCCAGAGGCGGCTGGGCACTGGAACAGCTCCCCAGGGAAGTGGTCACGGCCCCGAGTCTGCCAAAGGTCAGGGAGAGCTTGGACAACTCTCAGAAGCGCATTTGGGGCTGTCCTTGCTGCCGTGCGCGGTTCTGTTCTGAGCCAGGGCATTCCACAAACCCTGCGGGGAACAGGAGCCCGAGCAGGGCCGGGAGGAGAGCTGCGAGGGTGACAATGACACAGTGACACAGTGACAGAGTCCCCACCCTGCCAGGCTCGGGGCAGGGGGGGTTTGTGCCATCCCTGGGCAGCTCAGCCCGACCCGCCGGGCATCAATGGAGCGCTTGTGCCGCGCTTGGCAGCACAAGGAGCCGGGGCTGGAAATGGCCAGAGCAGCCACACAGGCACCGTTCTGTGCTGCTGCCGCACACCCGCGCTGTTCTGTGCCTTTCCCTGCCGTTCTGTGCCGTTCCCTGCCGTTCCGTGCTGTTCTGTGCCGTTCCAGCAGCTCCCGGAGCAGCTCCCGCACACCCGCGCTGCCCCAGCGGCTCCCGGGCACGGTAGGAGGAGGAAGAGGAGAAGGGCAGCCAGGGAGAGACACTGGCACGCTGCAAGGAAAAAAGCTAAATAGAGAGATTAAAATAAAATGGAAATGCCATGCTGGGTCTAGCGAGCCGCCTGCACAGAGCTGGTGCCACCCTCGGCTCGGGGCCAGCAGAGCAGGGCTGGAGCAAGATGATTCTTGCTGCAGTCAAGACAAATCCCTGCGTTTCAGCGAGCCTGGAGCACGGCCAGGTGTCCTTCCAGGAGGAAAAGCTGCAGCTGCAGCAGCCTCAGGAGTGATTTTTGGATGGTTCTGCAGGCCTGGAGCACTCAGCAGCTCCATCTCCTCCTGTCCCATCACCGAGCTGGGCACTGCCCAGACCAGGGCCTGCATTTACAGACAGCTGCTGTAAAGGAATAACCACCCCACACACAGCTATCCCAGCACTGCAGCACCACCAGAGCCTCAGGCACACCCTGACTTATCCATCACCCACTCTGCTCAAAGAGGAAAATAATGACAGACTACAGGCTGTGAGAAAATATATCTTTTTTTTTTTTTTTTAATTTGACAATTAACAAAAGAGGGCTGGGAATCTCGGCTGTAAACATTGATAGCTCCTTTCTGATCACAACGAGTACTTTCCACCACCATCCCTTTGTGTGCTCTGATCCACTCCAACAATGCCCAGCCGACTCTGTCAGGGCTTTTGTTGCTCTGCTCAGGGTCACAAATCCAGAGGCAGCTTATTCACCACACAGCACCAGCAAGACCAGCCACCCACACAAAGACAGCTGAGGGATTCAGATACTTCAGAGCTGCTCCCACACGTGAGACAGACTTGGAAAAGGCAGGAGACTGTGCTGGGTTTGTGCCAGAAAGAGAGAAACATCTCCAAACCCAGCAGGGTTGGAGAGAAACGAGCCCTGCAAAAGGCAGAGCCTGCCCAAGCAGGGACAGGGACTCTGACAGTGCCAGCCCAGCAAGAACATCCCAGCTCTGGCCCAGGACTGTAAAAATTTGGAGGTGCAGAGCCAGCAAGTTTGTCCCAAAGAGGGACTGGCACAACGTCAGCTCCATTGTTGCAGTGGAACCAGAACTGCCTGGAGCTTGACAGGGGGAAGTGAAGAAGTGAAATTTCATCTCGGGCTGGAGGGCAGCCAGGGCTGGAGCAGCAGCAGCAGCACACGGCTTTCCCTGGGACAGAAACCTCCCCAGCCTCTGCTCCTCCTGCACGAGAAATCACTGCAGGTGGCTCACGGAGAAAAGGCTCAGCTGCTGCAGCTCCCGGGAAACCGGGGAAAGG